CCTCGTGAAACTGTTGCAAATTTAAATATAGAGAATTGTAGTCACAGAATTAATAAAAAAGATCAAAGTACACAAGTCACTGACACAATTATTGTTCGTTTTGGATCGTAATTATCGTTACGTGAAATTGTGAATGAAAAACGCGCGCGCTCAAAACACAACCAACGCTGCGCAATCACGCATCAACACTGGATTGTACCGCGCTATGTGGGTGAATGAAAGTGTTAGTGATGTACGTAATGCGAATCGAAATATCGACAAATTTGTATCCTTAAATTACTGAACACGTTGTGTGTATGCCGCTGACAGGAAAAACATTTCAAGCACAACCTTGTACTTCAAGGTCACTATACAAAATACTATTTAAAAAATCAGTTTTTTAAGACAGTATTTGAAATATTTAGTGTTACAATCTAATGGACGGCAGGACAGGATTTTATACAATAAATTGCCAAACTAAAGTTTGTATACATCTTAACTTAATTAACTTGTCTGAATTCTCAGCCCTATCAACCTTACTTATCAAGATCATAGGATTAAATCAAGAATTCATAATGTCATTTAAAATCATAACCAAAAAGTATCGATAACAAAACATAATTGTTATCAACACTATAATGATTAAGCTGTAATAGTTATTCAGTCCTTGCCTGCCTCTTGAGAAATTACGTGAACTACCATAGTCGATTGGAATTTACCACCTTATTACGATAACAATAAAACTCAAAATCGCTTATCTTCTAACGTACGACATGGAATAAAGGAAACTTTTGAATGCAAGATACGAACAGTGTGGGTAAGGCTTGTCATTACAGTAACATTGTAGTTATTTGAACATGTACACAAATATTGGAGTAAAAAAAATAAACGTAGCAAACCCTTATTACGCTAATGCAATAACGACGAATGCAGACGACTCAAATTATTAAGAAATAACAGGCCATGTTGCCCAGCTCACTCTACGTCCCCACAGAGGGGCTCGGAGCCTACCCTAAGTTAGTAACCAGGCCATAGTTAGCCACGGTGCCCCAGTACGGGTTGGTTGACTTCACATATCTTTGATATTCTTCGCAGATTATATTACATCATGATGTTTTTCTTCACCATAAGAACGTCGGATAAATGTACATATATAAATCGAAAAACCACAATGGCACATGGACGTGATTCGAACCCAGGACCTGCAGATTACAAGTCAAGTACTTAACCGCTGAGCCATCGACGCTCGGCCCAAACACCCAACCCTATTTGAACATATTGCTATCTCTCATTTTTATAGAGAAAATGAGAGGGATGTTTTATGAGTGAAAACGCAGTTAGCCTCTTGTCACAATTTCCTAAACACCCAATGCAATAATTCAGCCGACATAATCAGATTAATACAGCGAAGTTGTCATCGTACGTATTATCTATATTTAGACATAAGAATAACGCGATCTTTAATTAAAAAAAGTATGATAACATTCTTCTTCTTCTTCTTGAGGTGCCTCTCCGACTAGCGAAGGTTGGCTAACATTATTGCGCTCTAATGTATTGGGGAATAACACTTACGGTGGCGGTTTTTCCAGCATTTCGGTGTCTTCGCCTGGGAACAAAACAAATTATTATTACTAAATCTATAATTATAAACAATTTAATACTTAAAAAATATAAAATCGACATAAAAAAGGTCTTAGTAATTCGATGTAAAATAACTTTTTAAAAATCCAAGATATTTTTGAAATTTGTTTTTTAGTATTTGTATTTAAAAAAAGTAAAATAATTGCACTACACTCATAACCCAGACTGGGAAGCAGACAACAGATCTTTGGTTTGAGCGGGAAATTCAAAAACTTAATCTTTCAAACAACGCCATCTATCGGTGATACTTAGTGTTAATAACCTTTAAAACACAAACAAAACAAACTATAAATTCATCAATAATAACATTAATAATCTATCAAGTCTTTGTAAGCGTAACGATTAATAATAAACAATTAATTTAGATTATTTAATAGTATAAAATAATGAATAAATCGTGTTACTATGTAATGACCACTCGAGCGTACAATGCCTCTGTTATCAGTCACTAGTAGTTATCATTTGGTGCTACGAATGCGGCTTTGTGGCCGAGTTAGCGGCATACGACATACAATGGCAATCAAAGCGTGAACAAATTTAATAAAAAATTAAACATCTTCAATAACCTAAACTAACTTGAGTTGAAAGTTTAATTTTCATGCAGTTATATTAATTACAAATAAACTATTGGAGTTAGTACAAACATACTGTTACTATTAAAATGCTACATTATCTCTAAGTAACATCTTATATCTTACTAACATTATAAATGTGAATGTTGGGATGTATTGATGGATGGATGTCTCTAGAACAGCTGCATGAATTTCGCTGAAATTTGGCATTATAGAACATAGTCTGAAAGAACACATAACTACTAATTATGTTTTTTTTAAATTCCGCTCAGACTGAGTTGCAAGCTACAGCCAGAATTGTCATTAAATGATAAAAAAATAATGTTCACTTGTATAAACTATGTACTTACTAGCTGAAGTCATCTTGTTTTAGATATCTTCTCGACAGCAGGCGATTTTCCTCATGTTCTCATTTCACCTGTAAAAAATTAACCGTATTGATATTCAACATTTTAAGACTCAACTTTCACTATTAGATTCTAGTTTAATCAAACAAAAGACAAAAGCAAAAAGTTTAAATAAAATTTCTAAAGCACAAACCTACTCCGGAATCATCAAAACATACAAACAAAAACATCAAAATCTGTGCAGTAGTTTATAAATATGTAAGATACAAACATACAAACATACAAACTTTGATTTTTATGTAATAAGATTGTGATTTAATTGTTAAGAGGCTTCAACATATAACCTAGATTGATAACACAGTAGTAATAGTATTATAATAAAACATTTATGACAGTCTATATTTAAATAGAATCATAATTAATTTAAAAATTAATTTTTAAATTCATTTAACTTATATATAAAGGCAGCAAATTGTTTTAAAAGTAAACTTTGCTCCCATTTTTTCATTATTTTGTAATTAATAAATAAAAAAATAAAAGCCGCCGCCAGCCTCTTGGAAACCCTACCGTGCAACCGCAGCGATTTGGGGTCGATTTTTTATATTATTTAGTTTTATTTTTAGTTTGGTTTAGTTTTAGTATATAGTTTGTAGTATTATTTTGGTAGTTTAATTAATTAGTCATTTAATTACTTATTTTAATATTAATGAATACTTCATAATAAAACATCTTCATTTTTATAGTGAAAAAAAAAATTAATTCATATAAATATATTATTTTTTACATAATTCATGGAGGATATAGTCAAAGGGATAAGTGAGAGTCCAAGACACCAATACATATCTCGCTTATAGAGGTCTCTCTCTTATCAGAATTTCTCGCTTATGGAGGTTATCCATTGGGACTGGACATTGACTCTCGCTTATAGAGGTGTTCTCTCCAGCTCATTTTCCGATTTGACTTCCAAAAATGGAAGATTAATTAATTTAATGTTTTACAACACCTTTACTAACATAGTTAATTATTTATGTGGCATTTATTTATACATATATTTAGAAATAAAAATAATATAATTTTTACCATGCCTTAGTACTTACTACTGCAGTTAGAAACTGTAATGTGTAAGAGATAAGAATGTACAATCTAGTAAAATTTCATATGTACAATATTAAAGTTGTCAGATAAATTAATCTAGGCTATAAGATATTTATCTTTATCTTTTTATTGTCCAACTTGCTACTTGTATTTTTATATTTTTAGAAGATATGTAAACTATTATGAGGTAAATTATACAAATGTCACAGTATCTGTATAAATAAAAATAAAAATTGTAGTGCAAATCTAATCAATACTATTTAGAGAGAAATTAAAATAAAAAAAAAATTGTTTATTTATAAATTATAGTAAAATCCACACATACAGTCATACATAGAATTTTTAAATATTATTTAGTAAAAAATTTATTGCATCTATAAATCATACAAATTATAACAAAAGAGCATAGCTATGTAAAGTGAAGATGTGACTGTGCTTATTTTTGTTATGGGCATTATTACGTTAAATACATTTTTCTATTTGTAAAAGTGTATTACAGTTATAATTACTTGTAAATAAAAAGTTGGAGCAGAAACATAAAAGTTCTGATAACTTGTAAATGAAAAATTACAGCAACATAAAACTTTTCACCCCTTTTTAAAGACGAAATTCTCTCTTTATCAGATTTCATGGGTTTTATAACAAGATCATGTAAAAAATTTGATTATTTATTAAATTTGTTTATTACATTTTTTAGGAAATACGAAATATTATTTTAATCACACAACTTTTGAAACGACGACCTCTTATGAATATATGAATAAAAAAATCCAATTTATCAACTGTAGAAATACTTACTATATATGGTAAATGGTATTGACTTCTATTTAGGGCACACACAATCACAGTTTAAAGAATTGTACAATGAATACAATGAATTTTGTATGGTTCTGACTTTCTAAAAAATGATAATCATACAAAGGATAACCTATTTTATTGATTGTTAAAAGCACCTATATTACAAAAAATTTAAAGATTATGTGTATTACGTTTATCATTAAAAATGATATTTGCCGTAAATAATACTGTATTATAAATAACAATAATTTTCAGAAACTATGACATATCGTCAGAAGAATTGACATTTGACACTTGTGACCAACTTGCCATAAATAAGCAGAGAATTCTATAACATTTTAGTTAACTTACTATAAAAAAACTCGTTACTGAAAATATGAAGGCATTTATAAAAAAATTATTAGTATAAGTAACGTAAAAAAATTCAGTAGATGTAAATTTAAAAGAGTCAGAAAATCTGAAATTAACCAATTTAGTAGTAGAAAAATCAACAGAATGTTTACTTTTGACTGAACCTATAATTTACCTTAGAATAAATTGTCACTGTCAGATGAGTTTGACAATGGACAATAGGTTTTGTTGACGTATGAATAGTTTTGGGTTTGGCCACAATTTGTAGTAATTTATTCCCTAGTAATTAAAATACATACAGTTTATGAAATTTGTTGATCATGTCGGGACAAAATGTTAATGTCTGTGACATCGGGGAAGATGTAAAAAATGTATTAAAGAAGTTTCGTTTTCAAAAGCACAATTCAAATTCAGCATTAATTTTAAAGGTAAGATTGATAATTGTAAACAGGAAACGGGTATCATTCAATTGTTTGTGAACGTTTATTAATATAAATTACATTGCAATCGAATTACTCTTCTTTTACTTGTATTCTAACTGAAATATTGTAATTTTTACCATGATTAAATCTAACATACATTTGTCCAATCATACAATGCTTCTGTGATAGTAAATACAGATCATCGAATGAGTCACAATAAATTTTTAGTTACTCGCAGACAGGAACTTGTAAATAAAGCAATGAACATTCAACTGCGGTAATTGTTTATCTTATCTGTTGCATTTAAATTACATTTTAGCTTTGTTCTAGTTAGTATATTAAATAAATAATACTGCCTGTATATAATATATTAAAAAAATATTAAATTTTTTGTCTCTTACAATCTGTCCACAAATCTGTTGTCTGTGTTCAAGAGACAGTTGGTGTTCAAATAAAAATTATGACTCTTATTAATTTAATAAATTATACCTATTTTTTGTAAATATATTGTTTAATTAATTTGAAAGTCTTTCCCATATTTATTCCAATTTTCAGTTAATAAAGAGAAAATGACAATAATAAGGAAATTATGTGACTTAGGAATTAAACATTGGTGGTAGTTACTAAATATTAGTTTAGTCATTTGTTTGTTAAGATTAGTTACATTTAATGTTTTTGCATGTTACAGGTGAACAGAGAAAAGCAAGCACTAGAAGTAGACGAGGAACTAGAGAGTGTGGAACTGGAAGAGCTTCAGGACATATTGCCATCACACCAGCCTCGATTTATTATATACAGGTACATAAGACTAGCATTGTATATAACAAGATGTACATAGAAAATTTCTACATGTGGTTGTCTACTGTGAGATATAGGCCTTTTATATTATTTAACTTGACACTATGTTTTTTGCAAATGTGTTTTTGTACTCCTATAGCCTGAATGGATTAAAGGATGCAGAAGGAAGGAACACTCAGATATCATATGATTTATAATTGTCCCTAAAGCACAGAAACTACTTTTATGATACTAAATTAAAATATAATTTTTACAATATTTTCAGTTATAAAATGGAACACAATGATGGCCGCACCTCATTTCCGATGTGCTTTATATTTTATACACCCAGAGATGCACATATGGAGTTACAGGTATATGCTTTGTTTTTTTTATATCATAAGGTGGCAGACAAGTGAGCGGCTGCCTGAAATCGCTGAAATAGAGAAGCGACTGTTTCCCATAGACATATGTAATATGAGACATATGTAACAGAGAAGGGGATACAGAAAGAGACTATTTTCCCCTTATCTGGAAAATCCACTTCCACTTCCCATCTTTTACTTATAAGAAAAACGGTGGGCAGGGTAAGAGGACTAAAATTAGTTTTTAACATTCATTGTATTTGCTTTACACAGTTTTAGATTTTACAATTGTATTGAAGTTTCTTAGTAATGGGCAAATAATAATAATTAATACTATACAGGATGTTCAAAAATGACAACACAATTTCTTTGCTGAATGTTGACTTGTAAAAAACATTTGTAGGTTATGTACGCGGGCACACAGCGCGCTCTAGCGGCGGCGGTTGGTGCGCCACGTTTGCTGGAAGTGCGAGAGATAGACGAACTTACATCTGATTGGTTGAATGAGAAACTCAACAGATAGGCTTCAGTACCCTTTTGATAACGATATAGGTCACTTGTAAGACAACACTAGTGAGTAAGTTCCATTTTATTTCTTTTTAAATTGTGTATACAGGATGTACAAAATATTAAAATGACATTTTTGATAATGTTTCGTGTGGGTATTTCAAAATTAATTAATAATAATCAAAAGAGAATTCCTTTATAATTCAGTCCATTTATTTTTAAGTATATTAAAATTATATTTAATATATAAAACAAAGTACATTATTAAGTATTGCCACATTAAATATTATGGTTGATTCTTGCCAGTGACCTTGAAATGTTTTTTTTATCTCTCTTTTGTATTTAGTTTCCAAATGCTATATGTAGCGATGATATGTAAGATGTAATAATTAAAATAAGTGCATATTTATATATTTAATTATAAGAAAATTTGTGCGCACAGATGAGAGGAAATGTATTTTTTTCGTGTTTTCGTAAATTTTCACTGTTTTAGAGCGTTTTTTGGACCAAAACTTTTTCATAAAAATTTAATAGAAATGACTCCAATAATCAAAAAGCGTATATTTCCAATACTGACTATAACATAAAGTAAAATAATTAAATAGTTTTGCATAAAGTAAAAAAAAACATTCCAAAAAAATATTCTTAAATATTTATTTACAAATAAATCTTCAAAAATACTCATTTTATATAATATAATAAAAATTTTGCCTTTATTAAAAGTCCATTAAAACATATTGTTTTTTAAAAAAAAACCTATATATCAAATATATCTTGCCACATTTGCATATTTATATTACTATTATTTTGCTGTAGAATTTATTTACAGAACGCATATTAAAAATAATTGTTAAAAGTTTATGATAAAAATTCATTTATGTTATTAAAATTTCTCATACTATATAAATCGTTTATGTATTATATTGCCAGTCCATTGACATTGCAAATTAAAAAGTATAAAAAACTGTAATTATTAATCAGAACATATTAAAGATGCGTTTCGCGAGATGCAAAAGTATCGTTGCCCGCTAATTAATTGCGTATCCGGGCTAAACTAACAGTGTCCAGGTTGTCCGGCACGAGAGTGGCTGAGAGAAGACGATAATGCAGACAGACAAAATCCTCAATAATATAGGGTGTCCTTTCTACCCAAATGTCCGGACACTGGCTGGTCTGTCCGGCTATTAGTTTTGGCGTCCTGGCAACCCTATGCGATATAGAAGTTGGTGGCAACTGCTTACTGGTATATGACAGCAATTTCCGCGCCCCGTGATATCTCACCTTTAATTTTTATTTCAGTTAACATAGCCATGTTTAGTAGCTTAAATATTAATCAAAAAAGTAGTACTACATGTTTTTATGTGTTTTAATATTGCAACACTTATGATTATACCATTCGTTATAAATTCACATATAGATTATATCACAGTTAAATTTGGATTGAAAAAAAAAGAAAAACTTTAATTAGAAATAAATAATAATAAGTTTGAAGTGTTTTTGAACATTTATATATAGATATGGCTGAATGAAATAAGCTGAACGGTTTTTATATTGACTAAAAGTACTGCATTTATAGTGTAATGACTATGCGTTATTTGATAATAAATTAAGATTTGATACATTTTGAGTTTTTATTTTCTATTGTCGAAATATTGTTATCCCTTTCAGACTCTTTGAATAAAACAGGGACAGCATATTACGGCAGTAACCTTCATTTATACAGGATGATTCTTAATTAATTAATAGAAAGATTATAAACTATCCATTAAGAATCATCCTGTATACACCTACAGTAATACATCCCTTATGCGACTTCGACATTTATCATAAATATTTGCAACTAGTATGTTCTACCCATAAGGATAGCAGTTAGTGTGTCGCAGCCAGTAAGGTCAATTCCTTCTTCTAACATACGCTCGTAAGGTAGTACTGCTAGCTGTTGGTACCCGCATTTAGCGGCTAGCACCTGCGAGCTCCTAGCCGTGAATACCGTTGCCGCGGCTTTTATACCGAATGTATTGCAGATTGCTTCCCTGGAAATTTATATTTTAGTTTCATTAGGCAAACCCAGTGATAGTATAAATTTGCTGTACGAATGACAAACAAAGAATTGGCGCCAAATGGAAGTATTTCCTTGTATCGTTCGATGAGTGTGTGTCAGACACAAATTCAAATCTTCTTTCCGTTCACGCACTTATCTAAAAGGTAAAAAATGGATACCTAGTGGCTTGCTTGCCTTTTTTCCCTCACAATAAAACTTAGAGGTAGTAACCATAATTAGAGTTCAATGAAGATTTCAGTCTTAATTTTGCCAAAATGTTTACCTTGCCGCAATGATTTTCGCGCCAATGTTCTGTCCCCTATGCTCAGGCAGTACAGTTAGTCCACTCGACGTCAAGTACTTATCCACGCCGTAATATTCAAAGACATCCACCAAATTTTCCGCTCTCACTAGGGTCTTTAAAAGTTTCCTCCACGACTCGCCTGCGACCTGCAAACATACGCATTGACTATCTGTATTCAGTACATACACGTGTTCTGAGTTCGCTGTAATATAATTGTATTATGAACGAGTTAAGCAGTAGAAACATGACACCAAAACACAGAGATTGGGCGCTAAAATGCTTCTGAAATTAACTGTGATTTAATTTATCAAATTTCTTTAAACCGTTGAATTAATCCTTTCGCTATTTATTTCATGACTTTTGACTTCATTTTTGACATCAGAAGTGCTATATTTTTGCTTACAAGCGCTCTATAAACTAAATAAGTATATTCTTTTAAAAGGTACGCGTCCATTGGCCCGTTTCGGACGCACCGCACGCCCTGCCCGCATCGCATCAAGACAAAGTAATTTCGCTTAATCCGTGCGTTCGGTGCGTCCATCGCGTGCCAATGGACGCGTACCTTAATATTCCTTATACGATATTAATTCGAAAAAGAAAACTTCGTAACAAAAGCGTAAAATTTACTAGTATTTCTATCTATAGTCACTTCGGAGTTAAAAATAATTTATTACAATAATAAACAAAACAGTAGTATCGGTTAATTGATTGACGTTTTTATAGACTTCTGTATGATCTGGCAAATATCTCTTAACATCTTATTCCGTGGCGTAACTAGATAAAAAGGGAATCATAAATATCTTTGTGTACATTGAGTTGTACGCAGTTCAAAAGTAACCATCGTTTATCCATCAATCAGCCAGCAATTGCTTTTCTGTTTATACAAAAGGTTAAAAAATCAAAGATTCTTTTTTTTATATCATAAGGTGGCAAACGAACGAGCGGCAACCTGAAATCGCTGAAATAGCGAAGTAACCGTTGTCCATAGACATACGCATGCATATGCGTTGCCTAACTTTAATGGACGGAGGAGAGGATGTACAGAAAGAAATCATTTTCCCTTCCCATGCATCCTCTCATCCGGAAAGTCCACTTCCACTTCCCATCCTTTTCTTGTAAGAAAAAGGGTGGAAAGGAAAAGAGGACTAAACTAGGCCTCCGGGACGCACACTCATCAGACGAAACGGGGAATTGCTTCCACTTGATGCCTGTCTTCTGTGTGGTCGTGGTATTTCACCGAGCGAGCCGGGCATATTCGTGCAAAGATATTACTCTCTACCACTGTTAAAATTCTCTCTCTCTCTCCTTAACATTATAAACTGCACGGATGGACCTATGTCCTTAGAGATAATGTAGCATTTTAGTAGTGAAAGTATTTTTGTAATCGATTCAATAGTTTACGAGTTACGTTACAAACAAAAACAAATCTTTAAAGAGTATATACGGAAGTTAGATAAACCATTGCTTAATTACATCAAGTTTTCAACTAACATTGTTTATATCCTCTTCATTATCGTCTGTAGTCTTAACAACTAGGATGTTAAAGCCAACCAACTCATCAGGCATGCCATCTTTCTCCGTGTAGCAAGCAATGCATATCCCTTGGTCAGCGTAACTCTCCCAGTTGTTCCTGATCGTTGTCACTGATTCTACGTCTGATTTAATATCTGTAATGAAGTCGGTAAATGCATATTTAAGACGTGATATCAGCGGGGCTAGAAAAAATGCATTCGCTACGAAGCGATAATCAGGTGACTTGTCGAAAGTTATTGTCAGTTCTATACATTTATAAGTTCGTTATGGAATCGCTACGTAGCGAATGCACTTTGTCTAGCCCCGCTGTCGCGCAATATCTGGCGGTCTGTCCCATTGTGACGTACAGATTTTTAAAAATTAAATTAGAATTGATAAGGTGTCGTTACGTATTTGAAACGTAGTTATTTACTAATCAAAAGTAAGTACACTAATTTTAGAAGAAAAATATATATATAAAAATACCTAGAATTTGACAGAGCGGTTCGTCATTCAGGAATGTTTCCTCCATCATATCCAAGCAACGCTTTCTATCTGATGGCTCCATGTCTCTTATTTGATACCTGTTAGAAATATTTTTTATAACATAGACCTTTATTTACTATGTAAATTAAAGTTTACCATTACGCACGGATAAAATTGATTTACTTTGTTTTTCAATGCGGACGGCGCGCATGATAGACACAGCGCTAAGTAAATCATACAAAGCAAAATAAAATACGTTGCCTGCCCCGCGTGCGGTGCGTCCTGCGAGGGCCAATGGACGGGTACCTTTATAATTCTGTTTAAGGAACGTACCTAACAATGTTATAAATAGGCTGATCCAAAAAAGTATGCACTTGGTTATTATTTTAATTATTTCGTAGACTTACATCTTACCAGGTTGACCATTTTTATCTCGTCCTTTGAATCGACACCAGACTTTGCCCACGGGAACGGAGGAGGGTCGACACCACGGCATTTCTATTTAAATTCGTATTTCGAACACATAATTGCATTTATTTATTAGTTATCTGTTAGTTATAATTTGATTTAACGTGAGTTACATTTAAAATTTATGATAACAATAGCTGCAGCCCGCGACTTCGTCCGCGCGAAATTAAAAAAAAGTTTATTAGAACCCTATGTTCGAGCAGACTATATGTTCTATATTTATACCAAATTTCATCGAGATCCTTTCAGCCTTTTTGGAGATACCTTCAAACCAACATCCATCTATCCATCTAAACAATCGCATTTATAATATTTGTAAGATATTACGTGCTGGAAAATTAACTTATTAATAAATAATATCTCTTATTAAAGTACCTATACAAAAAAAATAAAAAGCAAAATATAAATAATATAAATACTTACCGGTTTTCTACGGATTTAATCTTTGAAATAGTTACTGCACATTGACAGTTGCATTACGACTAACCATAGAGTTAAGATATTTGCATATCTATGCGTAACTATTCCTGTACCTTGACTCAATAATATCTATGCACTAATAACGATCATTAAGGTCTCAATAAATGCAAGCAATTTTGTTCATAATCACGTAAGAAATAGAGATTAAAATTGATGAATAATTAAACTGTTTTTCTAACTTATTGAAACGGAGATGTGTGTGTTGACACTGTTTCCATTAAACGTAAGGAGTTGATATTCAACATCAAAAATAAAATAACTGAAATGTATTTTAACGGCAACAAAATAATATACAAATAGAAAACTATTCTTTAAAATTGTTTAAAATAATTCAAGTCAAGTAAAATAAGTCAAGTGAAGGAAAACATCGTGATGCAACCAGCACATATCTGAGAAGAAATTCAAAGATATGTGCAGATATGTGTGATGTCAACTAACCCGCACTGGGCCAGCGTGGTTGACTATGGCCTAATCACCCCTTACTTAGGGTAGGCTCCGAGCCCCACGGTGAGAACGTATAGTGAGCTGATGATGATGAGTTATTTTTGCTATTGTTTAGAGGAAACGTTACTAATCTAATTGTATAATAAATGAAAAAATACTAAATACTACGGTTTCCTTGCGTATACAATTAAGGATATTTACAACATATTTCCCTTTCCCTCGTGTTTTAATGACGACAATTTACAACTCACGAGAAATGTCGTGTCGCATAAGATAATGTTAACTAGCAATATTCATCTAGAAAAGGACAAACTGCAGAGCGCATACGCAGCTCTCTAGTATCGAGTGATCGAGTCATATCAGCTTATGAGTGCAGGTCTCAATGTAATGTTCAATAGTTTTATCAGTCCGCTAATAGCCATTATCATTCGTATCACAACGTGCAATTTATAAGGCTATTGGTGACAGTTAGTATTTATGAATGTATTATAGAATAGTTTTTGTTGGTAGCAATTCAAATTGTATTATTCTTAAACCCAATTAACCCGACTCCACTCATATTATAACAGCGGTAGAACCCGCTTTAACATCTTCGCACGAATTGGCCGGTGCGCCCGGTGCAATACCACGACCACACAGAAGAAAGACGTCAAGTGGAAGAAATTCCGCGTGTCGTCTGATGAGTGTGCGTCCCGGAGGCCTAAAGGGAAAATATTCTTTTTCTGTGTATCCCCTCCTCCGTCGATTGAAGGCAATGCATCTGCAGTTGCATATGTCTATGGGCAACGGTCGCTTCGCTATTTCAGCGATTTCAGGTGGACGCTCGCTAGTTTGCCTTATGATATTTAAAAAAAATCCCGAGAAAAATACAAATTTAATGACACCTAACGCTTTAAACTCGGTCAAAGCAAAGGTTACAGACCAATGGTAAATACGCAAGAAATTCGTCAGTTCCTACGTCAGTTGAGTGAGAAAAACATTTGTAAGGACATTTTATAAGTTAACGATGGTACTTACAGAAAACGTCTTTTTATATTCCATTACGGCACTCTTGGAGAAGTAATAAGCCCAATTAACCTGAATCTTGCAACATCCGGGATTAAAGTATGTCGTTATCCTCTGTGGTACAGATTGCCCCCTCTCTCCCCTCTCCTGCATACGTCACTAACAGAACAAGCTGGCGAAAATAAACAATACAGATTCTCAGAAACAACCTCCAATGACCAGGTGCTGTTGATATGCGATGCACATAGGGATGTAAATGTACCTCATTTTCCTTATCGATATCGATATAATACCTGAAAAAATTGAGTTCTAATCGGTATGTGTACTTTAGTTCATAAACATTAGTGTTTGTATAATTTCGAAATATTGCTAGGTCGTTTGGAATATACATATTTAAGATTTTTAATGGAATTTAAAATTAAGAATGATAAAATTGTCTTACTATTTATTTAAAGTAACATTCTGTTTAAGAGGCACCTAAATATTGGAAATGTGAGAGAAATGTATGAAAGTTCAGCGATATAGAATAGTGACGTGAGTTTTTAATATTTCTAATATCGATAACAAAAGCATCGATACATTCTTCGTCTCAAGATTAACGCACATACAACAAGAAAATTTATATTTCCCCCAATCCCGATTTACTTTCACGGGATCATAAAACAGTTTTATTCAGATGCGAGTTGGTCGGAGAGCGTGCCGGTCGCGGCCCCACTAGCCGGCCATCTTTAAAAATAGCCCGCGAGTGATCTTCTACGGAACCATTTAGGCGGGAAATTTAAAGTGACATTAACTGTAATTCGACTTTTAAATATAATTCTTAATTGTGTAGTTACTCTGTGTGTGGAATATGATTTTAAATGGGTAAGTAAGTATTGAAAATAACTATTGTATTTAATTATAACAGAATTAGTGACGTGTGAACAACACTACGCCTGCAATCTTGTTGGCAATGGATGGCAGTTATGTTTAAAATAAAGCGTAAAGAATTGGAAAGAACAAAGTTTATTTGATGAATGCTTTAATGTTGAGCGTTTAGTGAATGATGTTTCGTTTGTTTGTTTAAAAATATACATTTAGTTAAGTATTCGAACACAATGATTCGAAAATATAACGTGTTGCGTGTTTTCCCACAAACATTATTAATATTGATCTTAAATAGTATGTATTTTTAAACAGCTATTTTTAATAATAAATAAATGTAAGATTTTAATTTAATAATCATCGCTGACATTATTGTTCTTGGTATAGTTTGTTTAGCGCATTTTTTATTCCATTACAGAGTAACTTTTATATAGAGCTGTCTTTTGTTTACAGCCTTTGTGTAAACTTTTAAAACAGGCAATGTATAATCCTGCTGGAAGCAGTTGCTTCTTATTGAGTTCCACAATTCACATCGTTTACAGTTCGTGTATAATTTATCACACTATTTTTATCACGTTTTAAAGTACAGAAATATTCTTAGTACTTATAAAACTTTAGTTATCTGTGGTCGTATGTAATCAATAGTCATGGTATAAAAACTTAACTAACATTTAGTACTCTAATCGGCAATTTAGAATATTATAATGTTTCCGTTTGCAAAACACACGTATAAATACATTATGATGTCCCATTCTTATTCAAAGACAATGAGAGGGATGTTAATAAGTTAATACACGCCAATCAATCGCTTAAATTAAATACAATCGAATCAGAATAAGCAAATGTCATAGTCCGGTTTCGAAGGACCACATCCAAAAACGAGAAATTCGTCTAAAATACCTATATGAGCGAGAAAATATATCGATCCTTTGGACTCTCTTATCCAATTTCGATTGTAAACAAAGGAACGTCAAATCGTACAGATTGTTTAATCTCTGCCATAGACAATAAGGTTGGGTGACAGTATCCATAGAGAACATAGATTCTATGGTTATTATTATTTAAAAAGATAATAAGCTATAATATTTATTCAATAACTAATGTAAATAAGAATCCATAGAATTGATTATATACCATACTATTTCTAAACTGGATTAAATAAACAAAATCAACGTAATTAACTATCTGAAGACGTTTCATAAGTCATGTTGATGCGAGTTTGTTTAATAAACATTTCTAACGTTAATCAATATTTCTATATACAAGATGAATATCTTTTAAATAATAAAACCCAAACACTTTTAGAAATCGCCTTGAATTTACTGAGAATATGAAAAAACATAAACAATTATAACACGTACATAACCTATGAATAATTATGGATGGATCTCTCTAAAATGTGGCATAGATGTAGATTTTTTTTATACCATATGGTGGCAAACGATCGAGCGGCTACCTGAAATCGACCGTTGGCTATAGACAATTGATACTTTGCCTACCTTTAATTGACGAAGGATGGAATGCACATAAAGGAAATATTTTCCATTCCTACACATACCCTCATCCGGAAAATCCACTTTTACTTCCCATCCATTACTTATAAGAAATAGGGTGGACAGGAACGAGGACTAAAATTAGGCCTCTGGTACCACACTCATCCGACGACACGCGGAATTTCTTCCATTACCAGCCTCTCTTCTGTGTGGTCATGGTATCGCACCGGACGAACCGGCTAATTTGTGCGAAGATGTTAAAGCTCTACCACTGTTAAATAGTCTGGAATAATACATTGACTTCTAATTAAGTTTTTATTTTATTTGGCAGATGGAGGTGCGGGCGATAGTTAGTATAATAACATTGTATATTTCCCATCGTCTAGACCTGTGCCAATCACAATCTATTGTGTATATTTTGACAATCATAAATTGAAATAAATCGACCAAACAAAAATGTCATCGTAAATATCACGACAATCGTGTTCTTTCCAGACAGCAGAAAGTATACGTCTCGTAATCTAATGTCGCCGTAAAATTATGAACATCGTCATTTTATAATTCAACTAACGACGTTCTTTATTTACGGAAATGGAAAACAAAAGGAAAATTTACAAATTTACTTATTTCTTTGGATCAAAATTTGACAAGTATGCTTCATAACTTTTGGTTTGTTATTGAAATATGTGGTACGTTTGTTAGCAAACGGTATTTTCAATTTTACGATAACATAACAAACTTTACCCCGCCTCAGTCTATTATTGTATTGAGATACGAATCCGCTGCGACGCGTGTTTTTGCCAAAATCCCGCCACCCGCCACCCGCCTCCCTATCAATTACGATCGCACATCATATTTGACTAAACATCTTTGTATTTTACAATATAAACGAACTTTTTGATGGTTCCCAAGACCCAAATTAAAATATTATTATGATAAAGAAGCTAACAACTTGTACTTCTTAAAAATAAGAAAATTTCGCACACGGATGAACGTGAAATTTGACACAGTAAATATTATGTGTTATGACCAATAAGATAGTTATGTTTAATTAAGCCACGAGCAAAAGCGACATACAACTAAGTAAAAGTTCAAATTGGTTTGATGCGACGATAAAACATTCTGCAAAATGGCAAAATTGTGGCGTACAATTTTTTACGTAGGATTTTTATTTGTCATGGCGTGTTTATAATTGGGTATATATTACTAATTTACTCCGCTGGCGCAAGAGATCGCCAAAGTCGTCTGTCCTGTGCCTTCTCCTGCCAGTCTTGCTTATGGCTCCCGAAGGTCCAGCTCTATGGCGTTTCGCCAATAGCTATATATTCCTATTCAAAATTAAAAATCTACTAAATGCAAATATGTATTACACATGTTCTAACTATACCAACGTATACGTACACTTTCAAGTGGTAGCATAAATAATTAAGTCTACAGGTCAAGTGCCAGACTACCCAGACGCAACACTAGACAGAGTCTCAGACTAACAGGGCCGACGTTTGAGTAAGACGCGGTTGGGTGGCCGCCCAGGGCGTAAGACTGAAAGGGGCGCCACAAGTCAACAGAGCCCAGTCTCACATAACCCTGTTAAAAGGACCCCATATGTTCCTGAAGAATTCTCGCCCAGGGCGCTAGTAGAGCTAAAACCGTTAATGCAGACTCAATATTAATTAAATTACCAAATTTTACAGACTTAAATCCTCCTATTTCTTTCTTCTGTCTGACTGTCTCTACGGATAATCTATGTTCTTCTTTTCAAATATCATCTATAAGTTCACTATCTTGTTTATTTTGTCTTTCTATTATTACAAAAACAATTTTCTTCAACATCTTTCCTTGTAATAAAATTAGATAAGTAAACAGTTTTGTAGTTCACAGTAACATCGACGCGGTTGCTTTTTACTATCCCTGCGGACCGCGTGCCTTTGCCCACGCGCTCAACGCATTAAAACACCTAATTATAAGCGCGGGAACCAAAATAAAGATGGCGGAATATCACTGATCTATGATTTCTTTCACTGTGATTTATGCTAGAAAATGATAGGGGAATTTCATCGAATTGTTTGAATTGCAAATAAAATGATTATTTTTTTTAAACAATCTCACTAATATTACAAATGCGAATCTTTGTATGTATGGATGTTTGTTTGAGGGCATCTCGAGAATGACTATAGATTTTGTTGAAATTTGGCACCGTGCGAATTGAGTCGCGAGCGACAGCTAGTGTTATTTTAAATTTTTATCTTTTTATTTACTGTACCGATGGGTTATAATTTCATAAATTATACTAAAAATAAATTTAAACGTAGTCATTGCAATATTCGTGGATTATCTTCGCGTGTCTATTCCGGTAAGCATTTTTAAAAAGTATCAACAGTATGTATGAAATTATTACATATACTATGTTACGTGATAATTTTATTATAAGTGTTGCCTCTCAATCAATCAACAGTCAACAATGGCGCTTCTAATTTTGGCAAATGTTCCGAACGTCTGTACATTTATTACAAACATTGCTTCTAAAAATATACGACGTTAAACTACGTGTTTCTAAGTCCCGATATATTTGTAGCACACGGCACATAACGTAGTTAAACCACTAAAGTAAAGACAGGTTTATTTGATTTTAAGTCGTTTTCCTTTCACTTACTTCTTTCCGACGTATAAGAGTAGACAAAATTCATTTCTCATGACTGTCTTTTCATAATTGTACGATTTTATTGTAATTTTACTGGCAACCCTAGCACAAAACTTATGTTTTAAATGATGATTAAAAAACTAATAAATTAATATAAAAGAATTATGGCAATGACTCTAAAATCTATAATCATTATTAATTTTCAATTAAACCAACACGCGAATTAATCTTAAATTTACAGCCGCGCGAAATAATTTTGAACACAAATCAATTTGCTTTATGTCCTAATTATCAAGACGCGCATTATTTTAGACGGCTATCGACCTACTAGTTTATTTGTATTCAAAAGTAATAAATACACATACAATCTATATATGCAAAAGAAAGTCGTGTTAGTTACACTATTTATAACTAAAGAACGTCTTTACCGATATGTCTGAAAATTGGTGAGAAGGTAGCTTAGAGCCAGGAGATGGACATAGGATACTACAGTGCAACCTCAATATAACGTACCTCGATATAACGACTTCCTCGATTTAACAAATTTTTCGTAATCCCCTTGAATTGTCCATAAGAGTCAATATAAAATATACCTCTACATTGCGAACATTTTTTGCGAACAACGAAAATTTATAACGAATTTTCAACCATCGAGAAAAAGTATAAATACCTCTATTTAACGAATTTTGTCAACCCAAAACCTCTATATAAAGTTGCAGTGTCACTAATGTATGACTTTTAATCTCATAATATGTGATTCATGTTGCGACATGTTTCGACACGCTTTTGTTCATAAATCAATCATTGTTGTTTGATGGAAAGTAATGTTAACACTTATTCTCGTCACAATTGTCAAAGATTTAAGTTAA